GTCACTTTTTCCCTCCTATTCTTAAAAAGACTTGCACATCTGAAGCTGAGATGTCATTTCAGGCAGGTTTCTAAACTAGTGTTGCACACAGCGCCCAACTCCAGCTTCCATAAAGTGGAGACTGGTGTGTGCAGAAGCAAAACATTTTGTACGTACGATATAATATGGATCCCACTAAACGTCCCAGAGACAGTGATGCCAGGAGAACTGAGTCATGAGTTGTCTAGGAGTTGTCTGAGTAACAAGTACTTCCAAAGGAATCACAATTTAACAGTTTGAAGTTAAATTCCACTTGATTTGCTGAAGGAAAAAAGTATTCCTATAAGCCAAACAAAGGACTGGAGCTTTCTCCCTGATATTTTGGCAGAACAGTATAAAATGAGTCATTGTTCAAAATCATGAAAGATCTTAAACTTAGAACAATGTGATAAATTTTAGTCTTATTACTTACACCTAAATTGTATAGAATAATTAGTACATTACGAGGCATAGCCATTTAGCAAAAGCATAAATGAGTGTGCTATGACATATGATGGAAATGACCAAAGACAAATCAGAAGAAAACCCACATAGATTTGTAATTTATTATGAAGACAATATATTTGCCTCAGTTTCAGCCAGGAAGAATTTTGGAGGATTTCAGGTTCTTCGACTTTAAATGAGATTGGTACTTTTTGAGGGAAGATGGGGTGAGAAATCAGTCATCCTTATCTGGTATTTGGGAAGCCAATTCCAACTTTTCTTTTTCTCACCACCATAACTCAGTGTCTTTTAAGTGGATTACTTTGTGTTATTTTATTCAATAACTCACCCTTCTGGAGAAACAGTTCATAAGAAAAAAAATTGAACTAGAGAGCTCCAACTCTGATCAGCTCAAAAATCTTATAAAACCAGTTTTTGCTCATATACTCTGAATAAATAATTGCTTCAACTCCTAGAAGCCAGAGCTAATTGCACACTAATAGAGGGCCATTTGGAGCTCTCAGAACTTTTCAACCCTGAGGCTAAATAGTACTTCTATTGAGAAAATGCTAAGTATGAAACCATGTTTCAAGAACTAAATATTCTTGAATGAAAAATAAAATCCCATACATCTACAGCAATTAAAAATTACATTTTAAAATTGGCTGATTCACCTTTTATATACACGTGTAAATTTGAGTTTCCTTAGGTTGCTCCAGGGTGAATCCACTGTATTGTGAGTTCTGTTGCTACCAGTGAGTGTAAGATCTAGACCACTAAAAAGCACCCCCTGGAAAATTCACAAGGAATATACTTCATGGGCTCACACTAGGGTCCTATCAGCTACTCCAAGCTGTGTTCCTGGGATCTCTGTGGTCTCTGCAAGGGTAGTAATTTGGCAGAGAGCAGGGTGATGTTGAAAATATTTAACTGGGGCAAAGGCAGCAACCTATCAGAATGGACACGGGCTGCAAAAACCAGTTCAGGCATGCTGCTATGTGCCAGCTAGGCTCAGCCGGCCTGGGTTGGCCCCACCATTTGGCTTCCTGCTCCTGAGCTCACTGCTCACTTCATCCACATTTTCCCAGCCTTGCCACAGAAGGCTCCCACCAATGTGTGTCTGTGCTACGCCAGTGGCCAGGAGGTGGTCTGTGGCACGTGGCAACCTCTCTGCCCTCTCTGGGTGACAAGTCCCTAAAGAGGAGCAAGAGCACTGCTGTGTGTGCCAAACATCACCTGGAGTTTGTAGTGAAACAGCTCCCACCATGTTTGTCTAGAGCCTTCTCTCTCCCTAGGTGATCCCAGAGGAGCCATCTGCCCAAGCCTCACTTCATGAAAAGCCTTAAATTTAGGCTTTTGATTTGATTTCCAAGTTAAGTTAAATGTACTGTCTCAGAGATATGCTGACTGGATTGAAAAGACAGATGTTTATCTTTAAATCTTGTCTCATTACTAGACAAAAGAGCCTATAGTCCTTCATAAATTAACATATCTATAAATCCTGTCCTTTCCTTGGGAATATCATAATTCACACAATTTTTTGTTATCAGTCATTGATTTGTTAAATACATATGTTTTCGAAGCACAATAATTTTTGTCATGGGTTTTAATACTTGACTTTTTAGTACATAAAATGCCTGGGGAAATAGGAATGGCCTAGTGTCTCACAGATTCTGAGAGGCTCTGGCCCCAGGCCTGGGTGGGCCCAAGGTAATCGGCCTGTTGTTAGAATTCCAATTCTCACATCAAAAGCTCTGTCATCAGGTCAAGCTGGTTGGCCTGACTTTCTCTTCCCCGGGGATGAATTTGTTCCCACAGTTTCTTCAGTCTCTTACAAGTGCACTTCCCCTCAGGCTGCCCAAGGAAGCCTGAGAAAGCAGGGCCTGACTGAATTCAAAAGGCCCACGTTAGGCAAAACCTGAGAGAACAACACTCAGTAGGAGCCTATTGATGGTTCCATCTTACATGCAGGCCACCTGCTCAGGTTCCATTTGTAAAAAGGAGTTCATGGCTTTAAAAACATTTGAGGACAATTGTCTTAGGGTGTTCATCTGATTAGTGGAAAAGCGTATTTTCTAAATCCCAGACTGTGGCACCCTCAGAGGGGAAGAAGGGCGGCCCTCTCAGCTGGGTCTGTGAGTCCAGTTCTCAACCTTCTGGGTTCCAGTACATTCCATAGCTGGGTCTGCAGTGCTGAGAACCTGTACTCAGACTGTAAATATTGTCCTGGTTTCTGACATTTTGGGAAGACAGGAGAGAAAAAAGTAGTGCTGGTGGTAAAGGGAGAATGAAGAAAACTCTCTCCCTAGCCAGTTGTTTGGATCATGGAATAGGGAAAGCCTAGAACCTGAAGACGAAGGAGCAGACATCAGGCCTCCTGGGCCAGAGGCCACCAGAGTCAGTTCTGCACCAGCCTCTGTGTGAACTTGGGTCAATCACACATTTTCCAGCCTCACGTTCCCCTCATGAGAGATGCTCCAGTGTTTTAGTTTCTCACTTTACCTGTTGTGAGATCTGTTGTCAGCTCTAGGTCCCAGGATTTCAAATTAAGCTCAACCCTGCCCTACAAGGTCAAGTAGAACACATCCACGAACATTGAATAATTTACTAAAAATGTACCCACTTTGAGTCATAGCTTCTTGAAAGTGAACTAAGTTCATTATCTTCTAGTCATTAGAACAAAGCATTCTTTTCAGTTAAAAAGGGGTTGGCCGAGGAAGACCTACTGAAATTTGTCATTGTGTCCCATAATATTAAGGGGGATTCAATCACAGAACTAGGGTTTTTGTAGTGTTTTGTTCCATTTTTCAGTACCTCATGATTTAATTTCCTTGTGATGCGTTGTATAACTCATTCCTCCTTGTGCTTTGATTTTTCCATCTACAAATATAGAAAAACTTGCTACCTTCAAATGCAGAAATATTGTGATAATTATTGAGCTTTTATTAAATACTCCAAATTTCCTGAAAGAAATTATAGAAGTTTAAAATATAAAAAAACCAAAAGGAATATTGACAAATATTATTTCATTAAACCTCAACATTTTTGTAAAACAGACTAAGGTACAATATCAATATTAATGAATGGAGATGTTAAGTAACTCATCAAGATACACAGCAAGTCTGCACTATGCACTCATTTATTCATATATGTGTATAATTGCTTTTGGATGCCAAGAGATGTTTAAGGTAAATTAAGAAACTTAAAATAGTATAGTAAAATGTTTCTATTCCTCTAAATGTAAGCTATATATAGCACAAATCAAAGTTGTATTCATCTGAGATTTTAGGGAAACATTTTCTTTTGCCTCCCAGTACAAGTTTCCCTTACCTGCTCTTAGAGAATTTGGGAGCCAGGGAGCAAGCAAGCACGTAGGGAAAGGAGCAGCTCTACATAAGACAGGGCTGGGCCCTAGTGAACCGAAGATCTCAGATATCCACTCTGGACTAGAAGTGGAAAAGCAGGAGAGGGCTGAGCAGGGGGCAGGAAAGGGAATAATGAAGGCTTCTCCAGCCCCAAGAAGGAGCCACTTTAGGCCTCCACGTGAGGGCTTGTGGATTCAGTTCCAAGTTCAGACAAACCCATAGTGCGAAAATGTCAGTATATAGATCCATTCCAAGGGAAAAGCAAATGCCTTCATTTAGTGTGTTGGATTTCTCATGAAATTCCAATATATAGCTTGGGAATGTAATATGTGTTTAGGTGGAGCAGAGCTGAAGAAACTAATACGAAGGAGAGAATTACTGGTGTTCGATTTCATTTCGTATAATAGTTACTTTCTATTCCTTTGAGAACAAATTAAATGAACAGAAAAAGTCACCAAAAATTTGGTGCAATGCGTTTGTAAGAAGTGTAAATGTAGAAGTGAAGACAAGCCTTTGGGTTAGCAAATGAATTAAAACTTGTCCAAATTTCATCTCTGGAAAGAAAAAGTGTTAAGCAAACCTCAGTTAGAAAGACCAGTTTTAAAGAAAGCAGAGCAGGTGAAGCAGGCGTTACAGGCTCTGCATAGCGCTCAAGTTCATTACAGACATGCTGGGCATTTTAAAAGAAAGTTGTGTTCATTGATTACATAACTAATACTTTTACGAGCCCTACTTAAAATACTGATTTTTAAAACGGTGGTTATAATGTCCACTTGTTACATAGTGTCCATTTGAGACAGTAAATGGAAAAGTATGTGTGGTTGTTTACAAATGAGACTATCTTGCCGGTCATTTCCAAAATGAGAAAGATTTATACATTGTATTATGTAAACACAGTCCACGGGGGCCATCATACCAGCCGCGGGTGTGGAACTCACACAAGGTGCCAACAAGACTTCAGTTTGCACGTTACAGCTCCGAGTCACTCCGCGTCCCCCAGACCCTGTCCCCTCTGCATGCATCCGGCGCTCTCCCATGCGCACGCGCGTGCACACACACACGCACACACACACACACACGCACACGCACACACACACACACGCACTCCCGAGGGAGACACCAGCACAGCTCGTTCCTCTCGCCGGTCACCCGAGCCCCGCAGTCCCACTTTACCTCTCGCCCAGGGAGGATCCCGGCCGCCGCCGGCTCTGTAGCTGCCATCAGGCTCCGCCGCTCCCCGCTTCTGGTTCAGCAGACTGGGGCCCTCTGTGTTTTCAACAGGTACCATGGTCACGTAGAAGTTACAGCCTCTCCCTCGCCACCAAAGCACCCCGACCTCTCCCGCTGACAGGAGTGGTCACTTTCCCCATGGTCGCATACTAAAGAAGAGTGGGAGGAAAACTTCGGGTAAAGCCCATGTAATATGTAACCAACTTTGTTCCTATTTCCGAAGGCTTTGCCCTTTTCGGTGACACAGGCTGTTGCTATTCCAAGCAGCCTATCACAGGCAGGGGGAGGGCCGTGTCTCGGAGGACTGTTTTTGCCTTTAGATGCAGAGTGGGAAGCAAAGGGTTAAAAGGCTTGGAAACGGGAGCTCAGACACAGCGTTTGGCCATGAGCTAGGGGTAGCTCTTGTATTCCTCCACCTTTGAAAAGAGGGAAAGAAAAGAAACATGCAGATTTAAATGCAAGCTGAGAGTGGGGACAGAATACTCACAGATGGTATCAGTTGCAGAAAGAGGAACAATTTATGCAAAGACATACCAGAAATAAAAGTGTGTCAATTTTTCAACAAGACTGTTATTCTAAGAGTCATGACACTCAACCAGCTTAAACAAAGCATGTAACATCTTTGTTTCAGCCTGTTTTTGATCTCAGTGAATGGCTTATCTACCTATCTCCAAGGCTGTCAGACAACTAAGGCCTAAAAGCAAGAATATACAACTTAGAATGCTTAGATTCTCAAGACTTTTTATATCCTGAGATTATAGCAAAGTAATCCATTTTTAATGGATAATTGCCATTAGACGGAGAACTGATCCTTAATTTTCTGTCAGATTGCATATTTGCCTCGGAAGGATACTCACAATTGAGAGAGGCCAGACAAAATGACCAATTGTGTGGGTGTGATGGTCATATAATCTGAAACAAAATCAGGGCATGAGAGAGAGAATTTTTTTGTTTTGTGAATATATTTATGTAAAAAGTTTTACAGAGTTATGATATGTTAATTTAATTTATACATTTAGCAAATCGTATTTATCGAAAAACCTTACGGAAGAAATTGAGATCATCTTAGAAAAGAATTTGGAGTAAACACTAACATTTATGGAACATTTACTATGTGCCAGAAATTGTGGTAAGGGCACTAACTCAAATGATTCTTTTGAAAAAACTTGTGAGTCAGGTACCAATATTATAGAAGAGGACATAAAGGTTTAGTAATTTGCCTAAAATCTCCCTGCTAGTGAGTGGTGGAGCTGAGATTATGAAGCCAGGAGGTCTATGACATAACTCTCCTGTATCTTAGCTTCCCAGCCTTGTCCTTCTCTGATTTTCTTGGCCTCCTACACTTTTTAACTCTTCTTGACCTTAAGAAGATGCCGTGAAATATGGCTTTTAGTCCCAGCCATTCCTCTGGAAAGGGAATGGAATTTGTGCTTGTACAGACAGAATTTACTTACTTTCAGAATTTTGACTAGATCATAACAAAGCTCTAAATTAACTTATCATTTGTACGTTTCCTTTACTCATCACTAGATATTTCTGTATATTTCTTATCCTTCAGGGAATCAGGTAGCAAATGGAAATATATAATAATTCAACTAGTATTTATTATGCACCTGTTGTATGTCTGCTGATAGTGCTGGAAAGTGGAAGGCCTCTAAGCATAGCCCGGTCCCCTTCTGATTAAGAGGGTAAGAAGTTCAGAATCCCATAGATCAGCTTTTTCCAACTAAAGAATGTGTAATGCAACGATGTTTTAAGCAACTGCTTTTATTCGTTCCCAGGGTGTGTTGTGATTGTAGGACTAGCAGTTTTTATCTGTGAGACACACATATTTTTAATCAGTTCTCCAAAATCTCTTGGCTTCTACCTTTTTTTCTACTCAGAACCAATGACCTTAGTGTGGGGGAGGAGGGAGGGCAGGAATGCTCTTGCCATGGGTCAGTTTTATAATTGCTTTGTTTAGTGATCTGTGTCTCTGGCAGCTTCTTGATGCCGTGGAAGTGTTGGGGTGTTCACTGTAGTGATTGACTAGGAAGAAGATAAACCTAATTCCAGAATACTTTACTGTGGTTAAAAGCAGTTCAACAGTTCTCTCTGCTTTCTGTAACCAAACTGTACAGGAGGTCCATGGGCATAAACCAACCAGAAATCAAAAGGAATAAGCAAACAATGCAACTGACGACGTTGCCTCCTGGTGCACGTAATTCTGTTCTTTGTTCCACTGTTGACCTGGCATGGTCCATTGGCTGTCTCAAGCTCTGTTCTGTGCTCACTTCATTCTCAACCCTGAAAAGTTTAGGGGGTGAAACTCTTTCCACCCAGTCTAGAGCAGGATATTCTCTCTGCCTAAATTCCCTTAAGAACCCTGTACTTTTTCTTCAGTATTTTGCATACTTATAAAGTACTTATTATAGTTATGTGCAGTGATTTGATTAAATCTACCTTTTCTGCTAGATCGTAAGCTCCTTGAGAGTGTGAACCATGTCTGTTTTCTGTATTATGATATTCCAGGTGCCTGGCACAGAGTAAATAGTAAATATTTGCTGGCTAACAGACTGATCCCTCTAAATCCAATAAACTTTAGCATTACTAGAATGTAAACTCCAAGAGGGCAGGCACCTGTAAATTTGTCTTGTACATCCACTCATCTCTATATCTCCAGCTCCTAGCACAATACCAGGCATACAGTAGACATTCAATAAATATTTGTTAAATGAGCGCTCACAAATGGAGCTTGTAGTGATCTAAATAACTACTCAGTTTTTAAATATCAAGGCCCATATGACAATTGCCTATAACACTTTGTCCTTCCTCTCTACTTTCTGCAGTTTGAGCCACTACCATCATTAAAAGCTGCTCCTTCACTCGAAGGATATATAATCAGCAGATGTAGACAGATAGTTCATTCTCCATAACCCCAATCATTTTACTATATTCTATTTTAGACCACTGCTCATAGGCAATGCTACCAAACCCAAAAACACTTACCATGGTTTGCAAACTGACAAAACAGGAGAGGATGAAAGAGAAGGCAATCAGCATCATAAGGCACATGAAACCTGTTATATATCAGGCCTGTTTCATGGCAATTTTTCTAAACTTCACAACAACTTTCTAAAGTAAATACTATTACCTGCATTTTGCTGAAATTGAAACTGAGATGTTTATGAAACATACCTGAGATCAAAAAATACTTTCCAATTTTGTATTATAAAAATTTTAAGTCACAGAGGAAAACCTAGATTCTATAATCAACATTTTATCAATCTGGATCATCACCTGTCGATCTGTATACCAATCCCTCTTTCTCTACCCATTGATTTGTATTAGTTTTTATGCATTTCAAAATAAATTGAAATACTTCAGCATGCATATCATTAACTAGAGTTCAATTTTGTTTAGGTTCTTATTTTTGTCTTTTGAGAAATTTTACATATGAGGTAGTACACAGATCTAAGGGTGCCATTAGATGTGTTCAGGAAAACACATACACAGGTACAGGCCAACATTCTATAACATTACAGAACATGACTGTCATCCCAGAAAGTTCCTTCATGTCTCTTCTGAGTAAATTCCCATTCATCCTCTAGAAACAACGAATGTTCTGATTTTTTCTACGTAGATTACCTTTGCCTGTTCTAAATCTTCATCTAATGGAACTTTAGAGTATGCACTCTTTTGTAAGACTTCTTTCATTACTCATAATTTTGAGATTAATCCACGTTTTTATGTATAATAGTCCCTTCTGTTTATTGCTGAGTAGTATTCCATGGGTAAATATTCCAGTTTATCCATTTTCCTATTGATGAACACTTGGGCTGTCTCCAATTTTTGGTTATTATAAATAAAGCTGTTATGAGCATTTTTGTACAAGTGTTTTTGCAGGACATAATGTTTCAAAGCACAGTCGTCCAAATCCATTTGGTTCCAAAACCACATGCTTTCCTTTACACCCTGTTGCTTCTCTGCAGTGCACCCTACTGCACTAATTTGATGTGGAATGTACCTCCGGTGGTTTTATTCTAAAATAAATTCATTATGGTCTAAACACAATGGGGAAATATGATCTTTAGACAACCAAAAAAAATTTCAGATACAATTTCAGTTCTTTATTAACCATATTCCCATAAAATATTCATCCTGATATGATTGTTTGAAGAATATTTATTATTTCACCTTTTTATACTATCTGAATAATTCCTCTACCTAAAAGTTTTCAATGCAACTTTTTTGTTATATGCAGAATATTACCAATCATAACATGCTGATGAAAATTCCTCTATTTACAAAGTATGATTCAATTCATTATGATGTGTTCATTTGATATATAAAAAATCATTAAAAGAAAGACAGTGTAGCAATGTTAGGAAATGTCATTTCTATCATTTTATGTGGGAAAATTAGAGTAGAAAATTGCATTCTTGTTACCATTACAATATTTTAAAAAATATATGTGTACATTAAGACTAGAATAGAACTTGGAAAAATTGAAAATAATTGATATGTTAGGGTGGTAAGTCCTGTGTGAAAAGTACTTCCTTAAAAAATGTTTTCTTAATATTGTTATAATATTGTATATATAATAAATGTAAATCTTCAAAAAAAGTTCTTCATATTTAGGGCTGCCATGTACTGTTGTGCAGTTTAGTACACCAACTCCAACTGGTCCATTCCTACTTGCAGACAGCAGAGGCTTGTTTGTTTATAAAGCAAATTTTACAGAATATGACAGTATTGAAGAAGGGGCAGCTAACAGGCTGCTCAAATTATAATCCCCCTTTAAGTCACACCAACATCTTATCTACCAGTTTGTCTTATGACTGCTTTTGTACCAGTTAGGTACATAAAATGAGCACCTTTCTCCCTTTGATTAGCTATTTCTCCAAATAAATTATTTCCACTTTTAAAAATCTCCCTCAGTACTCTCCCCATGCTCGTTGGATGGAGGGCACTTGCAAAAAGTTGTTCAATGGTTAACCCTTTCCTTGAGGTTAACCATCCTTTTATACTGTGATGTCAGAAAAAGTTGCTTAATCATACGTGACAACAGGCAGTATTGGTTTGGGGCTCAGTCCACCTTCATTCCATGTCTCTTCTTATTTGCTAGTGTTGGGAAAATAGAATAGTTTGGTCAGGGCCCTCACCTCGGGTCCTGTTGGGTGTGGTTTAGCACATCCATTGTAAGCAAATTGTGTGTGTGTGTGTGTGTGTGTGTGT